AGTGGGCAGAGCTAGTATTCAAGTGGGACGAAGAGGAAAGAGAGCCCAATTTTAACGAATTGACGGAATTTATTATGTCTCGTGCTAAGATAGCTAGTAGTAGGTTTGGAAGATTAGCTTATCAGGCTAAACCAGGAAATAATACGGAAGCTACTAGTGGTCTGCGTGCGAGACATTCGGATTTTTCGTTTCTACCTAAAGCACGCTCGGAAGATAAGAGAATTGTCAATTATATCACGAAAGCATACGCTGATGAAGGACGAGTATGTGACCGTAACGATGTAAAGCCTCTTGATGCGTGTCCTAGCAAGAAGCCGGTTGGTGTAACAGATAAGATGGCTTTTCTAAGTGTAGAAAAGAAAGAAAAAGGCGAAAAGTGTAGGCATCAAGATGGATCCGAAGTGTGTGATGATAAAAGCCTCTTAACTGCTCGAAAAGCCTGGAACGGTAATTTGGATTCGAGTAATCAGAGGTTAATGAGTTCAGCAAATATGAGTAAGACCCAGGCAGGATGGTCTGAACGGAATAAAGCTTATTTTCGGAACCCTTCAGTTAGGGTAAATTATATAACTGGACCTAGAGTAGATTCTAGGATAAGTGATGGTGGTACAGTAACGGCTAAGAAGCCTAGGAGACATGATGCTACTATTACTAAGAAGCCTGAACCTCATGCTCTTTCGGATGCTACGACTAGCCATGGAAATAGTAGCCATCAGAACCTCAGTAGTGACAGTGATAATAAGGAGATAGAAAGTGTCAGAAGTCCACTTATAGGGACTAGTTTGTCAACTTCATCGAATGAGCCTCCTAGTGTTTCGACGCCATCGGACCTCGTCACGAAGGTTAAGTTGATTGAAGATGCACAAGGTTGTGCAACTGTAACTGTTCCTATTACGGTTGACTGTCAGTCGAGTGATGACGAGAAGAAAGTGTTTGATGGTAACAGCCAGTCTACAGTGCTGTGTGATGACGATGCTATTGTTGAGCATATGTCTTGTGCCGCTGAAACGGATGCTAATGCAGAACGGAATCATTTAGACGTTGATAATAAACTGGATGTCACTGATGTGACAAATGAGTTACCGACGATGATGAATACTGTTCAAACCTCCTCTGCATCAGCAGATGGAAGGATAAATATTGATCCTACGTCATGCTACTTAAGGTCTTCTGGAGACGATGAAATGTCAAATTTGGAGATCCCACCCTTGCATATTATTTATGGGTCAAAAACTTCTGTTGATAAGTTAGCATCACGGACTTCATGGTATCTGCTAATCGGAGCAAGTGGTGGTGGATTGGCGACTCGTCCCCACGATAGAGAATGTAGTCCTTGGATAGGATATGACCAGATTTGCGACGCGTTGTTCATGTTCGTATGGGTTAATTGGGTAAGGTTCATACTACCGTTAGGTCATTCCACGATAGATAGGGGAATCAAGGGCCTGATGGGAAAGTATAGGTACCTAGTTAACACGATAGGTCATATCCATGTTGGATGGCGGGTAGGCGTACTGCTGTAAGTCCTACACGTTATTCCGGTGTGGATTAGGGGATAACATGGGAACCCTAAATAAAGTGTCATTAACGCTTGCTCCTTTTGCATGGAGGGATTTTGCGGGCCGGTGTAGAATTCTTTTTGAATGTTTTGTTTTTTGGAAAATCCCTCCATGTTTACATATTTTTGCTATGACCTGATGGACTTTTTCTCTTGACATTTTTGGTATTTTATTTGATTCCAATTTGAGATTTTATCATTGTATATTGTTATTCTTTCTATATTTGTACTTATATTGAAGTTTTTGTGTTTGCTTCTGAACTGTACATATATTGTTTAAATTTGATATAATATGGCTACCGCCACATTTTTGGATGGACGCGGTGGCTGCTGGACTTAGTGTCACTTACTAGTTATTGTATTGGATACTCTGCGGAGTAATTTAGTCCTGAAAGAAACACAAATACCGTAAGACTCTGTATTTCCATTTTATAATAATAAAGAGACGTTTTCTCCTAGAATTTTGCCCTTTTGATTTGGTCGGGACCCGGATCTAGGAGGAACGTACAGGAGTGTTTCTATTGGAAACAATTAGGACAGCCACTGTCGAAATAAATCTACAAGCGGTACTAACTGTTCAGTATAACTCCAGACATATTCTATCGATAGTGCATACTTTATTGGTTATATATCTCCTCAGAGTAGCATTTACATTATTTTCACAAATTATTATACCTAAATTAACATAAGTGTTCTCCATAAATGGACTGGAGAAAGCAAGAGAAAGAAAATAAAACGAGAATAGCCAAGGACGTACCGTTAACAGGCTACTCAACAACATGTTGGTGAGGTACGATTTACCCGCGCTCCGTGCAGCTATTAGGTGTCTGCTCACCTGCCGTTTTAGGAATGGCTACCACAATCATAAGAATTTTCTAATAGGCTTTAATCGACTTTATTTTTGGAAAGTTGCACCTCTTGAGGTACTAGTCAGGTCATGAATGTGAGACAAATGGCAGCTACTGGGCATGGTTTTCATATTTGGTCGTCGGCAATCAACAGTTGGATTCTGATCATTGCTGCCCTTTTCTGGGACCATATGCAACGGGGGATGACCATGGCTGTTTGGTAGTCGGATGATCCGCGAATCTGTCATGTGGTTAAATTCGTCATTGTCATGTCTTGGATTTCCAGAGGAAAGTGGTCGGGATTTCGAGAATACAGGTGGTTCTAATATCGTGGCTTCATGTGCAACAATGCTGGTTACAAGTGGTATTTGGGGTCGTGTATGATGTAGTTTCGGGTACCTGCTGAGTACTGGTTAAAATAACGGGTAAATTAGGCGTTTGTCGTGACCTGGCATGGAAAGAAACTTTACAAACAAACAATTTAGTAATACCGTCTACACATCTTTCCTTTAGATTGAAAACTAGATTACGTAAATGATCGTTTCTGTTTGCTAGAAGGACGCTAACTTCTGCGTCATTGTAGATGAGACAGCAAAGCTTCTTCATCACAACAGTGATGCCAAAAAGACGGCTTTGTCCACTAGTAAAGACTGCCGATAACGAGAGCCAGCGATAAATTTTCCTGGAATGTTTGTGACGGAGGATTTTGGGATATGACAAGTGCAGAGCTTTTTGCATTTTCGAGATTTTCAATAGGTGTTGATATTTGTTCCTTATGGTATAGAAACGTCTTTTTCGAGCTATTTTGAACCCAGGGTGGACTGCTTTGAGAAGAGACTTGATAATCACGTACTCACGTACGGACTATCATCTCCCTCTTGGACAAGCTGTTCATGATGCACATCTTGAGACCTGCTAGTTGTTACCATTGCCATCTCCTCAGATCACTTCATTAATATATCTCGCCTATTATCATTGTTTGAATAGAGAAATAAGAAGACATATTTTGTGAGATAGTACCATTTCGTGCTTTCTCGTCAGTCACATACAAGCAACATGTTATTTGTGTAAATACAGTTTTGAAGATAAGGTCAAAATTTCTTATTTAGCATGACATTCACTCACTAGAACCATGGTAAACAAAGGTCAACATACAGTTGTTTTTGAACACATAAAGTTGGACTTTTCCGACCAATCAAGATAGCTTCGAGTAGTTTGAGTGTGTGTGGGTTTTGATTACATGTCACAATTCTAAAGGCTGATTTTGGGTCAATTTGATGACCACTCATCATTAGATGTTTTGCAATGGACGAGGCTGGGTTTCTTGATCGATTTTGAAATGATGGGCTAGGTTGATTAATCATGGATTTGATTAACCATTTTGGAATATGTTCCCCTATCCTGTCTTCCAATCGGCGATCTGATACATTGAACGACGAATTCAAGCTTATTACTGACACACTTAAATCAAACGGATATCCCGAAACGTGTATTGGTCATCAGAACACAACTATGACGAAGCTGATAGCAACTGATGTGCCCAAGAAACCAGTGTACGTACAGTTACCTTTCAAAGGTGATCATTGCATGAAGATTACAACCAAACAGACTGCAGCTGCAATAAAAAAGACATTCAATGCAGCTAATCTGAGGCTTATCACAACAACCCAATCGATCTCAGTTACCCCAATCAAGTCTCCAAGACCGATTCAGTCCAAATCCCACTGTATTTACCAATTCACATGTAACGGCGGAGAAAGTTACTTAGAGAGGACAGATCGCCGATTGGAAGACAGGATAGGGGAACATATTCCAAAATGGTTAATCAAATCCATGATTAATCAACCTAGCCCATCATTTCAAAATCGATCAAGAAACCCAGCCTCGTCCATTGCAAAACATCTAATGATGAGTGGTCATCAAATTGACCCAAAATCAGCCTTTAGAATTGTGACATGTAATCAAAACCCACACACACTCAAACTACTCGAAGCTATCTTGATTGGTCGGAAAAGTCCAACTTTATGTGTTCAAAAACAACTGTATGTTGACCTTTGTTTACCATGGTTCTAGTGAGTGAATGTCATGCTAAATAAGAAATTTTGACCTTATCTTCAAAACTGTATTTACACAAATAACATGTTGCTTGTATGTGACTGACGAGAAAGCACGAAATGGTACTATCTCACAAAATATGTCTTCTTATTTCTCTATTCAAATTTATCAAAGGGAACCACTGTTTTGTATTATCATTGTTTCCTCTCTCTTGCATAAACTACGGTCCTCTCTCAAAATCTTCACTACAAATTAAACTAAATTCATCTATATATTACTCAGTTCTGAAATTTTATTCATATTATCATTAGAATTATATCCTTATTATCCTTATTACTCCTAACATTGCAACTAACTGATATCCGGTTCGGTAATGTGACGGCTGCTAGTATCCAGAAACCCTACTGCCCTGAACCAAACGTTTTCATTCAAATCCCGAGACAAACAAACTCACAACCAACTGCCAACTGACTAGAATTAGACAGTCGAGTGGCTAGACCTCCATCCATTGGACATTACCGAACACATGGAACCGTACCGAAAGAACGAGAAATCAAATTGGTTTACATTAACTCGTGAAAAAGGGATTACAGATATTGGATATTGAATGCCTTGGCGCACACATATTTTCTGTGCTACACTTCTCAATATTGTATGTTTGTTATTTTTACGAGTAATCTTACATGTTCATAACTCTTAATTTATTTGCTTGAAAATCCAACTAGCGTTATTCGTCGCGTTTGGCCAAACCATGTAGTTGTTATAAGTAATAGTCTCGCGACGTACTATTGGATTTGTCCTAGTATTTTGTAAAATAGGTGAAGTACTTTACTGCTGTACGAAAAAGTCACAATTCACCTGTCGAATTAATTTGTTCATTAGAGGACAACCCGCAAAAACAGACTCACTAAGCTGCAGTGGTTTGAAAGAAAATATCGGAAATTCGATTGCATTTTATCTACTTTTTCAACCATTTCTGGTTATTTTAGTCTGCTTACTGAACGCGTTAAAAATTACTTTCGACTCCTATCTCGATTAGGATTTCGTTTTATAGCATTGGCCTTTCGCTAACTTGTGATGCTAGACTGTGTTTTTAAATAAACCTGTAGAGAGTGACCGTCAATATCAATAATAAATCCGTTCAGAAAGCTGTAATAAGCTGGACTGGACGTATGACTGAAGAAATAATTTTTGGATCAACAAATTGACCTTTTTGAGCATCTAAGTCGTATCAAAAGTTTCTAACACTATCGCGAAGACCACCCAAATAAATCATTGTGAAAGGGGAATCAAAATTACCTCAATAGAAATAAGATAACTAGGAGTATATGCTGTCAGTCACCATGAACTTTCATAACCGGCTTTTACATAGTAGTAATACAAATAATTGTCTTAGTTATCCACTATGACTGTCATTTTCATCCACCTTTTCTTATTGATTTCTTAGTGAGAAACTGTGCAACTGTTTTTGACACCATGCTCTCTGTTCTATGCTTCAGCTACTAATTCATGTATTAAAGTATTTTATCTAAACGTTTGAAGCATCGCTAAATATGCACGTCATTTTATGGTTTTATGGATGTGAAATGTAACGTTTTGAAAAATTTGTACGTTATAAGGTTGTGGAGATTGTTGAGTTCTATTGGGATCATGAATCGATCAGTTATAGACCACCGTCGTTCGCTCACGAGACTGAAGGTTCTGGGTTCTACTCCCGTGATTGGGGCTTGTGGGTTCGCACTGCTAGTGAGTCCCATATTAGGACGTCCACTGCTTACAGGTTCCTAATGGTGGCCTACCATTGATTAATTCATTATTTCAATGAAGAGTTTGTAGCTTATCACCTCAAAAAATACTGCACGTTTATTCTCCTGAAAATTCGATGACATCATAGCCATAACAGAACACAATCTAGTTAATAAATAGTTGATCTTCAAAATCCTCTTTGAATAAGACGTCCAACTGTTCTAAAACAACTAGTAGCTTTAAAGTTTCCGAATTAAACATTCAGAGTCCATCTACCGATGGTTTCTCTATTTCAGAAACTCATATTTAAAATTCAAACATAACTCAACAGATTCGTTTCCATTACGTTTTTCCCACATGCTCATTCCTAGAAATCATGTGACATCACGGTTCGACCTCTCACTAATCATCATAGCGTAAATGAAACTAATTAATTGGATTCCTGTTAACATTTCTATTTTTGTTAAACTACAAAGTCCATGTTCTAAACAAAGCGTATTCGACAAGTAATAAAGTGTTACCACGAACTTAAACCTGCTTAGTTATTAATATTGCTGAGTTTATCGTCAAAAGCAGTAATTAGCTTCTAGTATAAATTTTTTTCTTCAGAAAACAAGGATTTACTCATCAGTGGTTTTGTCAGAACTAAGGATTTTATTATCTATCAAACTACTGACAAGTTAGAACCAAGTAATCATTCTTTAAGAATCGTAATACATCAGCAATTGATAAATAATGACCAGTAAAAATTATCACTTAAACCACTACACGCTTTCACATAAAATTTTTAACACATAAAAAAACCGTGATAACAATGTAATTAACAAGTTAAATTAGAAATCACTGATTCGTTTTAAGGCATTTTACTGTCCTATTTATCTAGTTCAGAAAGTAAAGTACATTTACTTGTATTCACTTAATCCATGTACAATTATATCTTTTTTTGCTTTGTTTTGCTTTGAATTTTCAAATCACAGTTATTAAATGGCGTGAAAAAAAAATGGATGCAATTGTTGCTTTGTGTCATTTCTGTGAACAACATGGTCCATCAGTAATTATGTGTACACAGTCATTTAAACAACCACAATCAAAGTTATCTGTAAATAATGCACCCGACGTTAATAATGCTACCACCACTAATCATAATATTAATAATAATAACAATAATAATAAAGATGTAAACACATATCAAAGAAAAATATCTAGTCATGCTTTACAAGGTAGTGATGATGCAATTTTTACTGGAGTGGATGTTTCACCTATACCCATCCCATCATCATGTACGTAGTTTTGTTGTTATAATCTGTTATTTTTTTCTGTTTATAGTGAAAGATTTTTAAATTATAATATGATTGGTTTATTATTTCAAGTTGAACAGTCATAATAAACTTGAATATAGATGCATATATGTTATCTACTTTGTAGTAAGTTGTTCTCTATCATGGTCGGCGACCATACCACGTTGAAACACACCAGTTCTTGTCCGATCACCGAAGTTAAGCAATGTTGGGCCCGGTTAGTACTTGCATGGGCGGTGACCGGCTGGGAATACTGGGTGTCGCCGGCTTTTTTCCCGACCGTAGCTGCTACCTTGACATTATCCTCGTCTGAATTTTCAGGAGTAGACCTTCTACCAGGTGGCTCGCTTATTGACTTAGAATATGCCGATGACATTGTCCTACTTGGTGAAGACGCTGACAAAATGCAGAGTCTTCTGACTACCCTAAGCAACAATGCAAGCATGTTCGGGATGCGGTTTTCCCCCTCGAAATGCAAAATGTTGCTTCAAGACTGGGTTGCATCGGCACCTGAACTAGTGATAGGGAGTGAAGTATTCGAGCTTGTAGACCGCTTCACTTATCTTGGGAGTCTCATCAGTGCCGATGGCCTGGTGACTGACGAAATCTCAGCTCGGATACAGAAGGCTCGATTGGCTTTTGCCAACCTGCGTCACTTATGGAGTAGGCGAGATATCCGTTTGCTGACTAAAGGACGCGTGTACTGCGCAGTAGTTCGCTCCGTTTTACTTTATGGCTGTGAAACATGGCCAGTGAGAGTAGAAGATATTCGTAGGTTATTGGTTTTCGATCATAGGTGTCTTCGTAGCATTGCTCGTATATCGTGGGACACCCGAGTGAGCAACGCTGTTATTAGGAATCGGGTGCTAGGTAAGAATGGCAGATCAATCGATGAAGTATTGAAACTTCACCAGTTGAGGTGGTTGGGACATGTGTTGCGTATGCCCAACCACCGGCTGCCTCGTCGAGCCTTGTTTTGTGGTGTAGGAATAGGTTGGAAGAAAGTTAGGGGCGGCCAAACCAAAACATGGCAGAAATCCATGAAGTCATTGACTAGTGGACTGAGCCATGTCGGTAATTGTCGACTACCTGGTTGGGGTCCGCGAGATGATAATAATCGATGGTTAGAGACCTTGAATGACATGGCTCAAAATCGTTCGCAATGGCGCCGGTGCATTTATTCTTTGTGTTCTCTCAAATCCTAATCTTCTGGATTCTTCAACCCCTCTAGTCTTGACTTTCTTAACTTTTCTCACTGAATCATACTTCTTGAATAGTATCTTCTAATCCTAACCTCTCCGATTATTTCTAATTCCCTTACTACCTCTTCTACAATTGGATTTGAATTGACGATTACTTCTCTGTGCTGATGTGGTATGGCAACATGAACGGATGTACTTATGTACAAAGTTCTACGTTGCATTTGACTGACTGACTGACCTTGACGTGGTGGTCGGGCTTGACTATTGTGATGACCCAACCGAGCTATACTGGCTGGAACATGTGTTCCATGCCAGGCAAGTCGATTGCAGAACGATGAGACTAAAAGCAGCTATCCAAGGTCTGAGGGCGAAGTCGTACTTCTGACTGGCTGTGGAGGGGTGTGACAGCAGTAAGGTGTTTCCCTCGGACAACTAGCATCTGCAGCGATGCTGCCTTCTCATAAGGAAGGAAGGGTTAGAAAAGGTCGACCCTAAAAATGTCACACCTCAACCTACCTCACGGATTTCCGTCTCCGTCGGTAAGGGTGCCCACTAAGGTCTTTCAAGAGCGGAGCTAATACTCAAAAAACCCTTCAAACCCTTCATCTCTACCTTTCTCCTTCTAAATTTATCTTACTGAATTATGTTTCTCGAATCATGTCTTCGCTCCCTAATCTTCTCCATTACTGCTAATACTTCTATTATTGCCATTACTCTTGGATTTGAACTGACAGTTGCGTCTCTGCCGATTGGGCATGGCAACCTGAACTGATGTACTTATGTACGAAGTTCTGCGTTGTATCTGTCTGTCTGTCTGTTTGTCTTTATCATGTCAGTCATATATTGCATATACTTAATCAAGGCATACTATTACACTCAGTGATGGCTAAAATTTGAATAGGTCGAACGAAAGTAGGAGGTGGCCAGACCAAAATGTGGCAACAGTTCCTGAGTCTATTGACTGTTAAACCGAAACCTACTGGTAGATCCAGACTACCTGCTTGAGATATGCACGATCTGTTTATGCAGATATTCCCTGACTTGGATAAAAAACAGTCACTCATGAAAATGTCTTTGGGTTTCCATATGCTTCCGAACGTTCAGCTTCAATATTCGTACGTTCTACGCCCGAACTTCATCCCTTTTTAGAGTGTGAGACAAATTTTCTCTGGTCAAATTGCTCTTACCTCACGTCAGCACATCGATAGAACACCAACAAGTTTGAAAACAGGACAGAAATTCTTATCAATGTGAGAAACGAATTTCGAAGAGGATAAATATCATTGAATGAGATGGATTAGAAAGTAATACTTTACTCAGTATTTAAAGGAATATAGAGTGAATGCGGTTGCTCTGGAATAACCAGTTTTAAACCTAGTCATAACGTGTATTGTTATGTTTGTGTCAGTCAGTCAGTCAGATGCAACGTAGGACTTCGTACGTAAGTACATCAATTCGTGTTGCCATACCACATCAGCATAGAGATATAATTGTCAATTCAAATCCAATAGTAGAAGAGGTAGTAAAGGTATTAGAAGTAATCCGAGAGGTTAGGATTAGAAGATATTATTCAAGAAATATGATTCAGTGAGAAAAATTTAGAAAGTCAAAACTAGAGGTGTTGAAGAATCCAGAAGATTAGGATTTGACAGAACACAAAGAATAAATGCACCGGCGCCATTGCGAACGATTTTGAGCCATGTCATTCAAGGTTTCTAACCATCGATTATTATCATCTCGCGGACCCCAACCAGGTAGTAGACAATTACCGACATGGCTAAGTCCACTTGTCAATGATTTCATGGATTGCTGCCATGTTTTTTTGGCCGCCCCTAACTTTCTTCCAACCTATTCCTACACTACAAAACAAAGCTCGTCGAGGCAGTCGGTGGTTAGGCGTACGCAGCACATGTCCTAACCACCTGAACTGATGAAGTTTCAGCACTTCATCATGTTTGTGTAAAACATATCTTAGCCACATTGTTCTTTGAATGGTTATAGTCAATCTTATTAACGGACTTACTTTTTCTACTATGTAGCTTGTGGTCGACTACAGAATTATTCACTCAATTGTTCTCCTGTGAGGACAGTACCTAGGAGATGTCTGTGACCAATTACTTGCAGCGTACATGTCTTCCATTCCCATAGGCCATGTTTCACAGCTGTACAATAAGACAGCAGAATCTATTTTATTGTTCTAGATAACTACATCGTTCACGTTGACTGTGATAAGCTTTTGTTTACATCCCATCTATGCCTGATACACAATTGTATCCAACAGAAAATAAGATTAGAAGAGCGATAGAGGTTGTCAGATTGAGACTCAATGTCAGATTACAAAGTCGTTGACCGTTAAAGTAACCCATACTGATAGGTGCAGAGTTTCTGGTTAAGTCAGTCAGTCAGATGCAACCTCGTACGTAAGTACATCAGTTCATGTCGTCATACCACATCAGCACAGATCAAATCCAATAGTAGAAGACGTAGTAAAGGTATTAGAAGTAATTGGAGAGGTTAGGATTAGAAGATATTATTGAAGAAGTATGATTCAGTGAGAAAAGTTTAGAAAGTCAAAACTAGAGGCGTTGAAGAATCCAGAAGATTAGGGCTTGAGAGAACACAAAGAATAAATTCACCGGCGCCATTGCGAACGATTTTGAGCCATGTCATTCAGGGTATCTAACCATCGATTATTATCATCTCGCGGACCCCAACCAGGTAGTCGACAATTACCGACATGGCTCAGTCCACTAGTCAATGACTTCATGGATTTCTGCCATGTTTTGGTCTGGCCGCCCCTAACATTCTTCCAACCTATTCCTACACTACACAACAAAGCTCGTCGAGGCAGTCGTTGGTTAGGCATACGCAACACATGTCCCAACCACCTGAACTGATGAAGTTTCACCACTTCATCTATTGACCTGCCATCTTTACCTAGCACCCGTTTCCTAATAACAGCGTTGCTCACTCGGGTGTCCCAGGATATACGAGCAATGCTGCGGAGACACCTATGATCGAAAAACTGTAACCGACGAATATCTTCTACTCTTATTGGCCATGTTTCACAGCCATAAAGTAATGCGGAGCGAACTACTGCACAGTACACTCGTCCTTTAGTCAGCAAACGGATATCTCGCCTACTCCATAAGTGACGCAGGTTGGCAAAAGCCAATCTAGCCTTCTGTATCCGAGCTGAGATTTCGTCAGTCACCAGGTCATCAGCACTGATGAGACTCCCGAGATAAGTGAAGCGGTCTACACGTTCGACAACTTCACTCCCTATCACTAGTTTAGGTGCCGATGCAACCCAGTCTTGAAGTAACATTTTGCATTTCGAGGAGGAAAACCGGTTAAAGTCCATGTGATTGATAATCATCCCCAGTGGGTAACAACATTACTGAGCGATATAGCTAAAAACCCCTTTGAAATAGCGTCGTTCATCAATCAATCTTAAGTTTTGATTTTACTTCTATTTCCATATTTAGTTGTTTGCTAATTACATTTTAACTGATCATCGAGCTGATTTTAGTTCATGTTGTAAATTAATCTTAAACTATGTTTCTTTTCTAAACTATAGCATCAAGATTTTCAATAATGTCATCAAATGTTAATCAACAACAATTACATCCCACTTGTAAAGCATGTTCATCAATTTTGTTACGTGATGAATTGGGTATTATTAGCTATGATCATTCGGTCAATCTTTCATATATTTCTACTCAATTTCCAAAAGATGCTGATTTAGCAACACATGTTCGTAATGCTTGTTTACGAAGTCTTTCTAGTGAGGTAATGAATGCATTCATTCGTTCTATGTAATTCTCTTAAAATGGTGGAGAAAATTTGTAACTGAAATGGGGATCATTGTGATTCGTTTTTAATGTGAATTTTTTTCTAGCGATTATTTGTTTATGAGTGAACACTAACTAACTAACTAACTAGCTTTAGGAATTGCTATTCTCTTTTCGTTTTGCCGCTAATACTTCTGTGGTACGAGCTACTTATAAGTAGTATATGACTTGAGCGTCAACGTAATGTCTGGCAGCAGCAGATGGGGGAAGATCAAGAAAGGAAGAGTTAGAACACAAAGGAATTTGTATGAAACGCATTAACAGTGACATTGGATTGATGTTTTGCAACAGGAACAGTCCATTTCGATATGATGGACTGATAATTTGCAAATGAACGATTTACGATATGGTTTTCCGATTTTACTGAGTAACTCTGTAATTTTCGTTAAATACAATTCGGTTGCCTCCACCTGTGTTCTCCTTCACTACACTTCTACTACCTTTAGAACTTGAACTGACAATTCCATCTCCCTCTGTGTGTTAATGTGGTATGATAACTTGAACTGACGTACGTACGTATGAAGTCATACGTTGTAGCTGACTGTAGCCTTCCTTATCATAAAACATTCCATGCAGCTTGATAACCATACCGATTTAAGTATACTTAGTATATTATTGGTATACATACATGTTGTAGAGCTGTTATTCATTCTGCTTCCCTTGAATTCAAAACATTGATTTTAATAACCTTTAATCAATTCCTTAAACAATTAAATTACAACTATACCGTATTCTTGAATAAAAATAAAACTTCCCATAACCCTCGCCAACGTCCCCGACCGTAGCTACTACCTTGATGTGGTGGTCGGGTTTGCCTATTGTGATGACCTAACCGAACTTTATTGGCTGGAACATATGTTCCTTTAGGTTCTACCATGCCAGGCAAGTCGATTGGAGAACGGTGAAACACTAAAAGCAGCAACTTAAGGTCTGAAGGTGTTAAGATGTTCACCAAATATCCTAAGAGTACTATTTTTGGAAGTATAATCCTATTGGTCGATTTCTATTGGTCAAAATTATGGTCGTTTGAACTGTCAAAGCCAAATACTTCAATGTTGTCTCTTATTGGTCATCCGGACTGTCAATGTCATTACAAGTGTTCTTTCCTATTGGTCGTCCTAAACTGTCAATGTCACAGACTTTGATACTCTTTCCTAGTCGACCTTAATGTATAAATACGCACTATCTGTAAGCCTTCGTGATTCCGATTCCATTTCTCCTGCCTACCTCTCTTTTGTACTCGACCCAATAAACAACTCCATCCCACGGTGTTGCGTCCTGATATATATAGGAGATTTGGAAATAGCGTTTTGGGTCGTATTGGGATATTTGAATTGGACGCCGCTAGGACTGAATAGCTATACGTAGCAGCATTATAACAGAAGGCGAAATTGAACTGCTGGCTGTAGAGAGGTGTGACAGCGAACAACTGCCTTCTTCTACGGAAGGAAGGAGTTAGTCGAAGGTCGACCTTAAAAAATGTTTCCGTCTCCGGCTGTAAGGCCACTTGAAGGTCAGAACTAACACTACAACCAAGCAGTCATAGTGCATCAACAGATACTATTCTTATATAGCTATTTTTAATCCTAATCCCAGCGTTATCAAATAATTTTCAGCTTAAAAACCATTGAGACCAGAAATATTAAATGCGTTCAAGCTGTCAAGGCTGAAGCTTAAAGATGGTGACACTAATTGACTATCTTCACATATGGATTCCGTTGACCGGCAAAAATGATCTCATAAAGTAAACAGGGTATAATCGTGCACTTGAAGTTATTTTATTGATCATTTTGGATAAATATGCGATAGTTTGTGGAACTTTTTTATTTCATCAACTTTTGAGTGTACTACTGTTTATCATAATTTATTCAATTATATAATACTGTAAATTTGTTGTTATTGTAGGTTTGTCCAGGTCAAGTTGGTGCATTTTACTTTGGTGATGAAATAAATGGTCATGTATTCAGTTATAATTTCCCTTTGAATGATTCACGTGCACGTGGTAATCAAAGTCGTTTCAGTATATTAGTATTATCGTGGGATAAGATATACTTATTGAATTTATGGTCATTTTTAGTAAGTCCGATAGTGATTTTTTTCCATTCTTCTTCGAATATCTTTCCAATTATCAATATTACAGGTGTGTAACTTGGCCAGTAAGAGTAGAAGATATTCGTAGGTGACTAGTATTCGATCATAGGTGTCTTCAAAGCATTGCTCGTGTATCCTGGGACAATCGAGTAAGCCATGCTGGTGTTAGGGAACGGGTACTAGGTAAGGATGGCAGATCAATCGATGAAATGGTGAAACTTCATCAGTTGAGGTGGTTGGGACATGTGTTATGTATTCCCAACCAACCACTGACTGCCCTGACGAGCTATGTTTTGTGGTGTAAGAGTAGGTTGGAAGAAAGCTAGGGGCGGCCAAACCAAAACATGGCACTGACAAGTTAACTGAGAAATGTCGGTAGTTGTAGACTACTTCGTTGGGATCCGCGAGACAGTAGTAATCGATGGTTAGAGACTTTGAATGACATGGTTCAAAATCACCTGCAATGGCGTATCTACATCGCTTGCTGTGTCTTTTCTCGAATTCTAATCTGAATTCCTCATGATAAGTTATTATTAGCTAATATGGTTAGTGGTTAGCAGTGGAATCCACGAAGCGTTAGCTACTATACACGTCCACAAATAATGCTTATAATCTGAAGCCAATATCGAGGCAATCCGCATAGGATATGCATATTCCAAAAGGAGGATTTGATTCTGACCGATTCGGTCTCGCGTGCTTTTATGTGTTGTGTATGCCTAACCACCAACTGCCTTGTCGAACCGTGTTTTGCGATGTTGGAATAGGTTAGAAGAAAGCTAGGGGCAGCCAAACAAAAACATGGTAGAAATCCATGAAGTCACTGACATTTGGACTGAGTCATGTCGGTAGGTGTCGACTACCTGGTTGGGGCCCGCAAAATGATAGTAATCAATGGTTAGAGACCCTGAATGACATTGCTGAGAACCGTTTGCAATGGCGCAGGTACATTCATTTTTGTGTTCTCTCTGAAATCCTAACTTGAATTCTTCATCACCTTTATCTTTCTCTTCTTTAAGTTTATTTCACTAGATTCTACTTTTCGAATAATATTATCGACTCCTATTCTCTTCGATTACTGCTAATACTCATACTGTAGTGAAGGAGAACACAGGTGAGGTCAACCGAATTGTATTTAACGAAAATTACAGAGTTATTCAGTAAAATAGGAAAACCATATCGTGAACGGTTAATTTGCAAATCTTCAATCCATTATCAATCCATTGTCTGACATTTCACTATTCATGCGTTTCATACAAATTCTATTGTGTTCCCTAGTCTTCCTTTCTTGATCTTCCCCCATCTTCTGCTGCCAGACATTACGTTTACACTTGCGTCATATACTACTTATAAGTAGCGCGCACCACAATACTACCTTTACTGCTGTGGTATTTGAAGTGACAATTGCATCTTTGTGTTAATATGGTATGGTAACTTGTTGTTGACTGATGCGAAAAACAGACTGATCAATCGTTAATCTTAAACATCACTAGTAAGATTTAAACACCCGATACAAATGATGAATTACTGATGAGTTATTTTTTTGTTTGTTCTATTTTGATTGGTTGAATTCCATAGATATCAAATATATCACGAATGGTTTCTCGTCTACGTCTAGCTGCCAATCGTGTATTCAATGATGAAACTTCAGATAACAATAATAATAATAATAATACAACAACAACTAATACTACTCTCAATACTACAATGACACATTCCAATCCAACAAAACCAATCACACCATTAAGACGATGCGCTACACCGCCAGCTTCATTAGCTCCAAATCTTTATAAACAAGCAATTGCAGCCGGGAATGCTGTTACAGCCGGCTATGGTTTATATAGTCATGCAACACTAGGAAGAGAAACAAAACAGAAACGTGCTACCGATTTAGATATGCGTTCATTGGCTGATTTAACTAAAGATGATCAAGTATGTGTATGTGTGTGTGTGTTGTGTTTAAATGTTTGTTCAATATCTTGTATCGATCATATAAAGTTTTTTTTTAAGTTGGTGGAGAAAATTTGTAGCTCAGGTGGATGGATGATTGTGGTGGAGTTTCGTTCCCTGAGCTGGGGATGTTTTGGTTATGGAGCTTTCATTGTTCTTCTTCTGAACAACAACATCATCAGCTCAGACTTCAGATGGCAGAAGTGAAGTATTCGAAATTCCCCACGTATGACCTGTAGCTTAGACTACGAGTCATATGTAAGGAGGTTGCAATACTTCACTTCTATGCGCTCGTAAGAATCAGTGGGATGATTCAAACAAACCAGTGACTATCTGAACTCAGTAGCTAAGTAGATGATAACGCGGTGGCGTTCGAGCATAGGATACAGAGGCATTCAGCTGTCATGTTCCTCGATTTCACTTTCTAGTCACCATCTATTTGTGTTTACCATAAGAAGTATTTGAGTGGAAATAATTAAACAAAGAACTGATTGCAGTATCTCGTATTTTTAAAAGAATATCCTATTATGTAATACGCATTCGTATCATGGTAATCAAGTTGAGTTCTGTATCCATTGAAACTTATGACTTGCCCTCTGACATAAATGTCGTCGATCAAGTAAACCAAAGAATACGTAGCGTTGGGAATTATAGACAAGCATCAAAAAAATGAATAGCACTTGAAAACAATTGGAAAGAAGAGCACAGTGTAGGAGGAGAAAGACATATTTAATGAAACTATAGCTTGCCACTTTTATGAATATGTTCACTTAGTCTGCAATCATCTATTTTGCACTCCGAATAGGCTATAGTATGTCTTCGTTCGCTCCTGTTCTGATCTTTGAAGTATCTTAGACATTCTGTTCTCTTCAACTGTCAACTTTGGCAACTGCCAAGCTACGCTTCGTCGCATACTACTTATAAGCAACCTTGAGAGTAGCATCCATCACACTAGAACAGAGTAGGTTGGAGTTTGTGGCTTATACTCCACAAAGGATAACAGACGTAAGAAAGTAAACCAATAGAATAAAAAGCAAACTTTACTATAGGACTTTAAGTATTTTACCACGAAGTGATTAGGATTGGTTTAATGAGAGTTTGTTAATCAATCTTTACACTGAATAAATCGATGAACAACAGCACAATGTGAATCAAATACAAACAATTTAACATAAAAAGTGACATAATATGTGGCTTTTTTTGTTCAAGATTAGTCACTCAGTATAATACGCCCCCGATATATTTATTTCTATGTGGTGTATGGGTCAACAGTTGAACTAAGGTCAATCAGCAACGAATGAAATAGCCCTTTCGATTATGATATACATTTTTAATGATTACACTAATCCTTTTGTAATGTAGTTTTGAAAACAACATTGACCATACATACATTTTTGTGATAGACATTAGTATCAAACAATATATATTTTTGCCTGTTTCGATTGTTGTGACCTTTTTTTTTGATGAAGTGTATTGATTCTCAATTGTCGATAGTTAGTAAGACTTGTCACGTATGCTTATCAGTCGAATATTGTCAATTACATCGTTACAGCAAGTTGAAGAAAAAAAGATCACTAGAAAGGGGACATTAACAATGAGGGACTAATTTGAGCTTCAATCGAACGAAATCTAAACGATTTAAAAAGAAATGTCGAATCATGCATGCGGAATTACAAAAGATACTTAATTCAGGAGGAAAATTCAAATGGAAAATATGACAATAAAATGAACAGATAAACAGGATAATTTGATTTTTAAAAAAATTGTTAGTCAGATGCAACGTAGAACTTCGTACGTAAGTACATCAGTTCATGTTGCCATACCACATCAGCATAGAGATATAATTGTCAATTCAAATCCAATAGTAGGAGAGGTAGTAAAGGTATTAGAAATAATCGGAGAGGTTAGGATTAGAAGATATTATTCAAGAAATATGATTCAGTGAGAAAAGTTTAGAAAGACAAAACTAGAAGAGTTGAAGAATCCAGAAGATTAGGATTTGAGAGAACACAATGAATAAATGCACCTGTGCCATTGCGAACGATTTTGAGCCATGTCATTCAAGATCTCTAACCATCGATTATTATCATCTCGCGGACCCCAACCAGGTAGTCGACAATTACCGACATGGCTTAGTCCACTTGTCAATGACTTCATGGATTTCTGTCATGTTTTGATTTGGCCGCCCCTAACTTTCTTCCAACCTATTCCTACACCATAAAACATTGCTCGTCGAGGCAGTCGTTGGTTAGGCATACGCAACACATGTCCCAACCACCTCAACTGATGAAGTTTCATTACTTCATCTATTGATCTGCCATTCTTACCTAGTACTCATTTCCTAATAACAGCGTTGCTTGCTCGGGTGTCCCACGATATACGAGCAATGCTTCGAAGACTCCTATGATCGAAAACCAGTAACCTACGAATATCTACCCTCACTGGCCATGTTTCACAGCCATAAAGTAAGACGAAGCGAACTACTGCGCAGTACACTTGTGCTTTAGTCAGCAAACGGATATCTCGCCTACGTCATAAGTGACGCAGGTTGGCAAAAGCCAATCGAGCTTTCTGTGTCCGTGCTGAGATTTCGTCAGTCACCTAACAATCGGCTCTGATGAGACTCCGAAGATAAGTGAAGCGGTTTACACGTTGGACTACTTCACTCCCTATCACTAGTTCAAGTGCTGATGAAACCGAGTCTTGAAGCAACATTTTGCATTTCGAGGGGGAAAACCGCATCCCGAACATGCTTGCATTGTTGCTTAGGGTAGTCAGAAGACTCTGCATTGAGCGCCTAATGTGTAGGTGACATGATTTGGCGAAATTTAGACTTTTTAAACGTTATCCCACATGAAACGTTGGAATTATCTAAGAAAATTTCAATCGCTGAGCGATTATTTCAAATATGTAATTTTCACAAAAAATAATAAGAGGGTTATTAAGAGGTGTAAGAAGGATTTGATTGTGATCAATTCGGTCTCGTGTTTTTACGAGTATGAGGGCGGATGTCACCTCTCAGCTACCCACACCGTGGAAGGGTGTTTCTTGAGGAACCTGACAAGGGAATCGGATTGGCGTTTGTCTTTGAGAATCGGGAGCGTGAGCTCAGAGCTCAAGGGATAACTGCTTGAGACTGGTCATGCACGGTATTCTTACGGGAAGATTGTATAGTGTTAGCTCCATTCTTCAAATGGCCTTACCGCCGGAGACGGAAATCCATGGGTTAAGGTGAGGTATTATGACATTGTCAAGGTCGACCTTTACCAACCCCTCTCCTTCCTTGTGAGAAGGCAGCATTACTGTCGATGCTGGATGTCTGAGGGAAAGATCTTACTGCTGTCACACCCCTCTACGGTAAGCAGTATGACTTCTCCGTGAGACATTGAGTAGCTGCTTTTAATCTCATCGTTCTCCAATCTACCTGCCTGATATGGTAGAACCTACAGCAACATATATTCGAGCCAATATATCTCGGTTTGGCGATCACGATAGGCAAGCCTGATCGCCACTTCAAGGTAGCTGCTCTACAGTCGGTCTACTAACCACGGTCCGCTGACTGGCTGACCGAAAATAATAAATAAACAATATGTCTAACACATGTTGATGTCATTATCAAACTAACATTATCAATGTTTACGCAAATCATATTGGACACTAAATCAAACAGCAAAGAATTTTTCAGCAATTAATATCACGTTTTATTTTTTTTAAAAAATAGTCAATAAAAACAGTTGGTATTTCATTACCCTATTTGAAAACAATTGTTCATATGCTGTAATGTTTACAAAAATAATTGTTTTTTCACACTATCAATATCAATTCTATTTGCAAAAAAAATACCACTTCAATCGTTCTGAACCTCACAAAACTTCACCTTACCGAATACATATTTCCATTAGAATTCAATAACAGTCTATTCGGCTGGCGTGATATTTAGTTATTTGTTAATCCAGGTACATTCTCGTTGATGGGTGAGTAGCTGGCAGCGAAATCCAACTCTAGGCCTCTCTGTGGCGCTGCTGGGCATTGAGGGTGACGTCATGGGCTGATTCGGGCGGTCAGCGGAGATCGGTCTGACCGGTCACTCCTATACTGTTGGATGTATAGGCTACTGGGAGACCTTTGTGTATGTATATACATATGAGTTTTGTGAGTCTTGACTTGTGTAGGCATATGCAAAAGGTAAACGCTAAGGTCGCCTACAATAATCAGAGTTAGATAGTGGCAGAAAACTGCCTAACCAAAAAAAGCAGCTGTATAAACAGAATAAAGACAAAAAGAGTGTGGTAGCAAACGCAAGTAAAGAGAGAGCTGACTCCATAAGAGTAAGTCTACTTATATGTATATCATGAGAGTGTGTAGATAAAAGCCTATGTTACTGTGGTATGCTTGTAATGAATAAGGGATAGAAGTAGCAAATATGAATAAAGAGAGTAGTGGTGTAGTGAATGAGAACACAGGTGGAGGCAACCGAATTGTATTTAACGAAAATTACAGAGTTACTCAGTAAAATCGGAAAACCATATCGTAAATCGTTCATTTGCAAAAGATCAGTTCATCCTATGGAACTGGACTGTTCCTGTTGCCAAACATCAATCCATTGTCACTCTTCATGCGTTTCAAACAAATTCCATTGTTTTCTGACTCTTCCTTTCTTGATCTTCCCCCCATATTATGCTACCAGACTTTACGTTGACACTCACGCTATATACTACTTATAAGTAGTTCGCACCACAGCACCACACTCGTCCCCCCTTTTAATAAGCTGTCGTCGCAGTCTTTCTGATCTCCGTACAGCCGTCTTCTTCATCAGTGTTTGTGGCTCGCCCTCTTGGCGCACTTGGAACCACCTTTGGAGTTCACTGGCATTCACGCGTTTCTGTTTGTTTCCTTTCTGGATCGTATACACTGCGCCGCGCCTCTCGGTGACGACGTACGGTCCCTCCCACTTCGGGATCAGCTTACCTGACCCTGGCCCT